TTTGAGAGGAATTCAAAGAAAGGGAAGCAGGAATGGACTGGGCAACACTGAGAATAATGGATGCTCTTGGAGAACTGAAGAGAAGATGATGAGGCAGCAAGGAGGATGGTAGATGCATTTTATGTGAAGTCCAACAGAAGGAGAGCTAAGCTTGTCATCTCCTCTCTCGTCTCCCAATGTACCTGGAAAATTGGTTATGCATTCCTCATTAAGTTGTATCAGGGATAAAGATGCTTTGTATATTTGTAAAAAATGAAAAGAACCCAGGCTCCCAGCATGAATAGTAGTGGGATAGAGAGATGTCTTCTATACTGTTGGCCACCAGTTTATATCTACACTTACTCAGCAGGTTCCTCGACTTCCTTAAATCCTAGTTTTCCAATGTAGAAAAAGAAATCATATTGTTTGTTAAGCCGTGGGGAAATTTTCACAATTTATAACTCAATGACCTAAGAGAATGTACTGAAAGAGTATTTCTTGGGTAAGAAATAAATATTGTAGTTAAACAATTAGATGTGTCCCATTTGTTTTAAAAATAATGAAATCATTGATTTCTAATGCAAGACAGTTTCACCAAGTTCCTTTAAGTATTCTCTTCAGGATTTATTGTCTTAATTATCTTTCCAACAGGTAGATTTAAAGGATGCTCGGGCCCAGGTATTTGGACCAGACCACAGTTGTTAGTTTTGTTTTTAACCAGATCATCCTATACACGTCACCGTCAAAATTAGGAGGTGTCATGGAAATAAACATTAAAAGCTAAACAAACAGTTCTCATCTTAATATGTTTTAAAAAACAGAATCCATTATTTTCTGTAACTTGATTTATTTTAGGCACTGTGGAATTTCTTTGTGGCCATGGGCCTCAGACATCGCTGTGGTTAGCTTCGCTGATTTAAGCTAGTTGCAATTATTAGCAGCCATGATGGTCATTCAGTCCTTTTCTTTTTCATGGTTTAACTTTCTTCTTTAGTCCCTGTTGTTTGTCTACAGCCTCAGAAGATACGAGATGCTAGTCACCACCTGTAGAACAATGCTCCCTCATATTATGCGTTCGGACTTTTTCCTAGACTGCATTTCCAGATTGAATAGTTCCAGGTCTGTACCATAGACCCCTATGTCCACTGTATAGATGGCAAACCGAGGGATGAATGGGATTTCTCACACTGCTCAGAGCTCTCATACTCCTCTGAACCCCAATATTTTTGGTTGCATTTTAAGAAGTCACCAATTTTATTAAATGGTTCTTATCTGTAGCATGAAATAGGTGAGCCTGTTTCTGTCCATGTAATCTAAGGCTTAGGTCTATTAGGAGTTTAGAGTAGTTATTGGAGGATGGACTGGAAGGTAGGGAACACTGATCTCTTTGAAAGAACACATTGAGAATTCCTCCCTAAATATCAGCACTCACAAGAAACGCACTTGAAGCAATGGAATGCTTACCAACCTACTTCCTCAGGTCCTGCAAGACATCACTGATTAGTGTTCATCCCTCTTGATGCAACAGATACTTTAGCAAATGAAAGGAGTGCCTGCAGTGTTATCAGAGCTGTACTAAGGGGTACTGGACTTCTTGGTGCTTAGAAAACTCACTGAGCTGAGGAAGGAAGTCACTGAGCTGAGGAAGTCACTGAGGGAGGAAGAGTTCCTTGAAATGGTGAACTTGAGCTTGCCTTTAGGAGACCTTCGAGAAATAGGTAGAAAGGAAAGGAGATCCGACTTTCCAAGAGGCAGGAGTAGGTTCGGCCTGGGCAAGGAGCCACACCTAAGCTTGCTGGCTGAATACAGAACACGTGTTAGAGACTGCAGAAGCCGGGAACACAGGGAGACCCAGCAGAATGACCTCAAGATGTTCAGGGGGGAGAGGTTATGTGTGTGGCTTTAGGTATGCTACCTAAACTCTCTGAACTTTGGGGACATTATTTGTAATATGAAGACAAGCTAATGTCTACCCCAGAGGGTGACTATCGGGTTCCTGTGAGATCACGGGGTGGAAATTCTTTGTAAAAGTGAGGTACTATGTGTTGATGGGTGATTATGGTGGCAAAGTGGTGGTAGGTGATTACAGAACCAGTGTTTTGTGCTAGAAGTAACTAAGCTGGTTTAACCTGTCACATTTTACCAACAAGGAGATAAGCAGACCTAAGGTGACTTACCTAAGCTGGTTAATAGCACAGCAGGAACTAGAAACCCAGGTCCAAGTCAACTCCCATCTAACTGGATTTCCCATCCTGCATCGGTTCATTCTGGTGAGTTTAGTGAGGAGCATGCGGCCTGACCCAGCCTGAGCCCGGAGCGCCTCTCAGGCACGCTGGCATCTCCCGCAGTGGAAGCTGCAGTCCTGCCGCCCAGTGTCACACTGGGATCACGTTCCCTCTCACAAATATCAGAGGGTGTGAGGGCAAGTTGCCAGGTAGCACAATGCAAAACAACTGTCTCACTGTGTTTGTTGCTGCACAGTATGTGGCTTGTGAGGTCCAAAAGCCACGGGGTGACCGGGACTGGAATGTGACAGTAATTTGTAACAACGGTGGCTTTTTTTTTTTTTTGTCTACTTTTGTGACATGCTCCAAAATCTGGAGAAAGGACTGCAAAAGAAAATGCTCAGAAATGTTCTAAACAGGTTTAGAAAACTTGTGAACCCTGTCTGAACTCTGATTCGATTCTCCCACCACTCACCCGTTTGACATGAGGACCAGGAGAACATTATTTATAACAGCATGTGTGAAATCCCAGAAGGGACTCTTGAAAGAATCAAAGTGAAAACTCTGTCCCAAAGAGACTGCAAGCACAAAATAAATGATCAGGTGGGAAAACATGTAAATCAAAATTTGAATCTTTTTTTTCACCTTTAAAGGAAACAGGAGCTTTTTCTTTGGCCTTTAGGAACACAGGACAGAGAGCCAGATAGAGTAGGTACAGCAATCAGAGGAGCCCCAGCGCCCCCGTCACGGCAGAGGGAGGAGTATGGGAGAGACGTGTGTGTTGACTCTTCTTCTTGTTCCAGAATGGCTGCTTCCTATTGGGAAAATAAGATAGTAAAGGCTACACGGAAGAAAGTAAAACCTTGAAAGCATTTAGTGAATTAAAATTTAGGAAGCACTTTTGCAAATATTGTCTGCTTGGGTATTCACCTGATGACAACCCTGGGAGGTATTTATTGGTATGCACATTTTATAGTTAGAGAAACTAAGACACAGAGAGGTTTGGCAACTCGTCAGGTTTACCCAGCTAGAAAATAGCGCGCTGGAGCGTGCACCGGAACCCAGAGTTTCTAACGTCATGCACTGAGTGCTGTCCACGGCACAGTGGCTGGAAATGCACAAGGCACGTGGAAAGCCTGGTCTGTCGCCGGGTTAACCCAGCCCAGAATGTGGTGTTTAGCTGTCTGGTTCTAGGAGATGCATGTAAGTGGTTCTCTGTCTCGCTCCCTGTCCCCCACAAACACACATTTCAAATGAGTTTTCTACCACCATCCTTTCTGGCCAGTGAGTGCCTCTGTCACGTGGGCTGTGTTTGGAAATCAACTCTGATGGTGAGTATGGTCATCACCTGCAGGCCTGTCCAGGCATCTCCATGAGGAAAATCTGTGCTCACTGAATAGCGACTACCTGTCACTTCGGGGTGAGAGGCAAGTGAGGAAATCGAAAGCTGATGGAAGGCAACTGCCTCTACTTAGTGTATGAGCTTTTGGTATATTCAAAGCTGAACAGTGAAGATATGGGGGCAGCTTACCCTCGAGCCAGCAAGTTATGTCCCTATCAATCAGATTTGGAGTCATAGTACAGAGAAGAATAGAAAAAGACCCTCTTCTCTTACAGTCGCGCTGTCTTTGACGCTAAGAGCATCATTTGAAATCACCAACCACATTAGACGTCTCTGATGCTCTCAGCTCCTTGTGCTCTGAGGTTGAGTGGCGTTTTTCAGGTAGTTAGTCCATTTCCTTCCTTTCATGAGTCAGAAATAGATCCTGAGACTTAGAATTGGGCAGAAACTCGACGTGGCATTAGTCTCAGGACTCAGGCGCTGAGTCTAACTCCTGCTGTGGGCTCACCTGCTGCCTGGAGTCAGGCACGGCTTTTGGGCTGGTAGTGCTGGGTTTACCAGCATGAAAAGTGGGACCTACCACCCCCAGGACTGCCGTGCAGAAAGCTCATCATGGCTTTAAAATCAGACAGACTTCATGGGCTACAAACCCGAAAATGGAATTCTAAACTTTTCTCCAGGAAGTAGGGCATCATAAACAAGTCTCCTTTGTCAAACAAAGTTCTCTTTGCTTATGCTAATGCTCTTGCCATCCGATGCCTCAGCTCTGGTGTTATTACTAAAATGGATTTTTCAAAAGTTGTGCTTACTTTTGTAAATAAGCTCAGTTGCACAGTGTAGAGGAAAGCCCTGAGCTCGGAGTCCAAAGACCTGACTTCTTTGTGTCCACAGCAACCTGAACCTCAGTTGCCTCATCTGTAAAATGGGAATAATCTGTGCCCTGCCCATTGCTGGGTTGTGGCAAGGTGTTCGAGGCAGGGCTGTCCACTCGCCCTAACACCTTAAAGCAGAAGGAAGCTCTGGCCTTGCTAAGGAAGCAGAGTCATCTGGTGGGCCATTTCAGATGCAGAGCACCTTATTGATATCCTGTTCAAAATCATCTTGTTAATGAGAAGATAGAGTCATCTTCCTACCAGAAAGTCCATGTGTTTTTTATCCAAGATGAACATCCACCCAATCGTCATCTCTGCTCCTATCTAGTTTCTAGAAAGGGAGAATTGCAAATACCTTTCATGTGAAAAAAGTATTTTGACCATCCTTTGCCCTCTATCTCTGTTGCTTGAGATTATAAAGAAATTGTATTTTCCTTAAGTGTTTATAAACAATTAAAATAAATACAAATAAAGGAAAGGAAAAAAACATCCCCTACATCTCTCTTCCACTCCTTTTTCCCTGAGCGTGGGAACTTGGTTTTGAGGTGACTGATGCCCCCTTGTTCACCCCTTTTCCGCCAGGTTGGTGGCCACACGATGCTCCCCATTCGCTGGATGCCTCCAGAGAGCATCATGTACAGGAAGTTCACCACAGAAAGTGACGTCTGGAGCCTGGGGGTCGTGTTGTGGGAGATCTTCACGTACGGCAAACAGCCCTGGTATCAGCTGTCGAACAATGAGGTAAGCGGTTGCCGGGCAGGACACCCCCAAGGGCTGATGCCAAGGGGAATCCCTCAACTGGAAGTCAGGACACCATCTTATGTGGCTCTGTTGGGAGCAGCCCCTCCCAAAGGGGCTGCCGTGTGCCTAGATGTCACGGCTGAAGCGTAGTCACTCTCCACATTTCAGAGTTCTAGAGCAAGCAGAGCAGTGTGTGCTGACAGGCCTGTGGTTCTCTGGTGATGGGACTGGGAATTACTTGGTGCTGCTCATCTAGTAAGTTAATAACAGGCGTAGCATCCCGCACTCTAAGCATCCAGCTAGTTTTTTGGTCTTGTTCCGATAAGGTTTCAAGTTTCTTTCCTCTTTGCACATTTCACTAGAACATTTACTTCTGGTGAAAACCTCAAGCTCTTTGTTTTCCCATCATAATTCTTTTGCAAATATGTCTACCTCTGAGGCATACTTCTGGGTCAGGTACCTCATATCTTCTTCAGGCCCACATCCGTCCTTTATCTGATTCCCTCATGGAAAACGACCGCCCAGGTCTATAGCCTGAGGTTAACTGGCCAGTCAGCGTCCTGACACAAAAGTGACCCGGGTTACGTCTCAGGCCAGCACAACTGAAACACACTGGAATGCTGGGGTGAGATTCGGGAGCATTCCATACAGATAAATGATTTCTCTGCCAGTTTGGTGAAATCACTATGGCTTGCAAAGTGAATACAAAGCAGTGAAATTAACCATGATATACCAACTATAATAGTTGCTCTCTTCCTTCTGGAGAAAGTAAACATCAAGGGGTTTCTTTAAAGCAGCCCTCATTTATTTTATCTGCCTGGTTTTTCCTCCTGTCTGATCCTGTCTTTGATCTCCATCCTGTCCAGGTGATAGAATGCATCACTCAGGGCAGGGTCTTGCAGCGACCTCGAACATGCCCCCAGGAGGTCTACGAGTTGATGCTGGGGTGCTGGCAGCGGGAGCCCCACATGAGGAAGAACATCAAGGGCATCCACACGCTCCTTCAGAACTTGGCCAAGGCATCTCCAGTCTACCTGGATATTCTAGGCTAGGGCCCTTCCCCAGGTCGATCCTTCCCAAAGCACCTCCTCAGATGGGCCGAGAGGATGAACGTCTTTTAACTGCCGCTGGATGCCATCAATCTGCTGTTCTTCACTCTGACAGCGTTAACAACAGAGACACTGAGAAGCTTTCAGAGGGAAGCAATGTGTACTTCTCCATCCGTAGACACAGTATGGACTTCTTTTTGGCATTATCTCTTTCTCTCTTTCCATCTCCTTTGGTTTGTTCCCTAGGTTTTTTTCTTCTTTTTTTCCTTTCTTTTTTGTCTTTCCTGCTTCACAGTCCTTACCTTCCTTTTTAAATCAATCTGGCTTCTGCATTACTATTAACTCTGCATAGACAAAGGCCTTAACAAACCTAATTTGTTATATCAGCAGACACTCCAGTTTGCCCACCACAACTAACAATGCCTTGTTGTATTCCTGCCTTTGATGTGGATGAAAAAAAGGGAAAACAAATATTTGACTTAAACTTTGTCACTTCTGCTGTACAGACATCGAGAGTTTCTATGGATTCACTTCTATTTATTTATTATTATTACTGTTCTTATTATTTTGGATGGCTTAAGCCTGTGTATGAAGAAGGAAAACTTGTGTTCAATCTGGGAAGCTTTTATCTATGGGAGATTAAAACCAGAGAGAAAGAAGATTTATTATAAACTGCAGTATGAGAGGAACAAAGACAACCATTGGGATCAGCTGGCGTCGGTCCCTGCTTAGGAAAACCCCAGCGACTGTTAGCTGGGAGGAATGTATTCGGCACCTTCCCCTGAGGACCTTTCTGAGGAGTAAAAAGACTGTTGAATTCTGTGCCGTGGACTCTTCTTTTCCCATCACCGGAAACACTAGAGTGTAGTAGAGGGAAAAGATGGCTTCCGTGAGACGCAAGATGGCGCATCACACGCTCAGACGGTCTTGTCTTTGTAGATCGTGGTGATAGCACTGGTTTGTTTTTCCAAGTGTTATTCACTGAGGCTTTATCAAGTTCAGTTGAAAATAGGTGGATTCTTATCCAGAGATCATTTCAGGGTCAGATGGGAAAGCCAAGGACTTGGAAAGGTAGGACAAGCTATAAATTCAGAGGCAAGTTTCTCTTATATTGAACTTTTCAGATAGCACTTCTCTCCAACCCCTACCCTCCACCTGACCCATCCTTTTAACTGTGCAAGCAAAAATGTGCATGGTCTTCGTCGATTAATACCTGTGTGCAGAACTACCGCTCCAGACGTCGTGCCCCTGATAGGTAGAGCAGATCCTTAAGAGGTATCACTTATATAATTAGGGGAAGCTAATGGAGTTCATTAGCTGAGTATAAATATCTCTGGGTCTTATGGTGGTGATGGGTTTTAACAAATATGTACCCTGAAGCCTGGAAGTCTCCATCCACGCGGCACCCACTGTGGGACTGGGGGAAGGGCAGTCAATCCCGGAGGGAAAGGAAACCTCACCTGGGGCATCACCTGCATTGATGCCCAGTGTACACAGGCCAAGACCTTGCTCTGGGCTCTGGTTGGGAGAGTGGTTTCATTCCAAGTGTACTCCATTGTCAGTATGCTGTTTTGTTTTCTTCACTCCATTAAAAGAAGTAAAAATAAAAAATTAGGCACAGCATGCCAATAGGAGGCTATGCCCAGGTCAAGCTTTGGAGGTGTGCTTCTGGGCATAGTCATGGGTTTTGCAAAAAGAGATTGTAAATTTAAATAGAAATTTACAGTTATTTGATGATCAGTTACACCAAGGAAGAAAAATATTTCTGTTCCACAAGAAAACTTGCTACCCTCTGTGAGGGGAATTTTGCTAACTTGACACCTTTATAACATGAGCCAGATTGAAAAGGAGTGATTTTAATTCATCTTAGGTCATTTTATTTCATATTTGTTTCTGAAGGTGCAATTGCTCTGTTTAGGTTTTTCTTACGCCCTTAAGTACTGGAGCACCTTATTTTCCATTATAGGCTTTGAAAGTCAGTTGTCAAAAAATCAATAGTGTCGATTAACTGAGAACAAAAGGAAATCCAGTAGCATCTGCAGTCAAGTGAAGAGGGTTGGACAAGACGAACCCTGGTCCCTTCAAGTTCTGTGCTGGCCTATGAGATGTGAGAGTTGAGCTGTTTGTTCTTTGTAGGTGAAAAACCACCCCTCCAGAATACACATAATAATATAATGAAAGCCATATCTCCATGATATATACCTGCACGTATATATCCTACAAGGACCCATGGTACTGTGCAAACACTGTGGCACTCTGTGAAGCGGTAAAGAAGGGGCAGATTTGTATAAAACTCTTCTAGATTCCATCAGCAATGACCTAAAAACCTACACAGGTTTGTCTTTCTGCGCGACTGGCCAGTTGCTCTGGGGGAAGAAGCTGCAAGTTATTTGTTTTATTTTAACAGACAGCAAAAGAGGTAATACCCTAGGAAATCAAATTTAAGGAGGGCTGTGCAGTTTTAGAGCAAGGCCTTGTTTAAGGCAAATCAGAAGACGGGAGCATTCCATTCCATTCCTGTGTTGTTTTCCTCTGAAGGAAAAAAGAAAAAAAATGTCTCCTTACCTTCTGACAGATCCCTCAAGGTCTTGAAATAAAAGGTTCTATGCAAGCACGAAGTTTTATAGTTCTTTCTATTGCTGATTATTATTTTTTTCCTCTGTTGTCTCAAGAGTATGTACTGATTTCAGAGATGTCTCTCTCATTGAAAGAACACCAGATTGCTTTTGAAGTAGCTGAATGAACCACAGACTGTCTTAAAACATTCATCGCTGTCCTCCACAATCCCCTCTTCTCTATGCTCTTCCAATTTTTAGAAAAGGAGTGTTCTCATTCTAGAAAGTAATGATCACAGAATATGGCCTGCCATCAAATTCCTTCAAAACTACAACAGTCATAGTGACATACCTAATTCTCTAGCCCAAACTCAGTCTGACAAACATTTCCACTGGTAAATTGTTTAATAGTTTTCCAAACGCTTTTTACATATGTTAGCAAATTATTCCCGTTTTTTGTAGGTGAGGAGATTGAGACTTGGAGAAGTTAAATGGCATGCTAGAAATCCCCAGGCTAGCTTCTGGCACCACTGGGACTTATGGAAGTATTCTGACTCTGAAGTTCATGATTCTGTCCACTAGAGACTCTAACATACAAGCAAGCCGGCCAGGAAAGAAAGCATGTTAACAAGTTCATGAACCAGGATACGAAGTTAGAACGAAATGAACCACATGAGATGACAAGCAACTGAGATATCGTGATATATAATCATGCTCATAGCTTCAGCTAAATCCTTGTACACTGAACCCACGTCATAATCACGCTTATTTAGAAAACATTTGAACTATGCTATTAGGATTATATCAGAACTCATATTATACGTATGTGTTCACACCAACGCTACCTGTGGTATTTTCATGTATTTATATGTGTGTTATAAATACTTGATTTCTACATATATGAACACACATGCATAGTTTGTGTGATTATGTATAAATTTATAGGCACACAGTAATAGAGATAATTATAAGTAGGGTGCAGTAGGAATAATTTGCTTAAAATCTGCTAAGTAACCAAAACTTTTTAATGTCCTGTTGCTGTTAGTGCTTCCATTCTCCACGTGGGTAGGACTGCATCGCACTTTTCAGCTCTGTGCCGTACAACATGGGTAGAAGACATAGTTCAGGTAATGTGCTTCCCAGAACAACTGAATCGAAGCCATCCCGCGACACTGAGTCCTTTCTCTGGCTCCTTGCAAAGGAAAATGCAGACTGAAATAGATCTCCTTCTGTAAAGGTCCAGGAAAGGAAAATTGATTTTTTTTCATCTTTTTGCACATTTGTATCATGCTCACCTCATTCCACCGTGACCCCTTTACACTTGTGTTCAGAGTCCAGGCATTCCAGAAGAGAACTGAAATGTTGGCAGCCCAGTGTCTTGAAGGTCAATGGTGAGACTCCAAGACCCCACAGCCAGGTGAGCGATGCTTAGGAATCCCCACATTCAAGCAGGAATGCAAGAAACAGCAGTGCAAAATGCCGCCTTGGCAAAGAGCCGTGACAGCAGGATGCCCTGGTCAGAAATAGACTTTTCTTTTTAACCTTTCCTTTTGCAAATTGGACCTTCTATGATGCCAATAACATTAAATTGTGTGTCTGATTAAACACGTGACTGCGTACACACATACCCTCAATTCTCTGGCTCTTTTTTTTCCCCATTTGAGGATTTTTATTTCCAATGTTGAGTTTTGTTTTGGCCCCATATCAGTGTTAGAGAAAATCTCACGAGGGGAACGGCCAGTGACCCCACTCCTCAGATGGCTGGATGAGCAATGAAAGCAGTTTCTTCACAGTGCATCATTGCGGAATGCGGAGACTCCCGAGGTTGTGATAGCAAATATTATCCTCAAGAATTAGGGCTGGGAGGGATTTGTAGTTAAACGTGACAGCTCATGAAGAGGTATTTTCTTGGTGTCAGGGCTAGAATGAATCACTGCTGCTCAAGTCAGAGGCTCTTGAATATCCTTAGTTTTTCATTTTTTCCCATTCTTTCCCTTTTACCTTTATTTATGTATTTATTTATTTCTATATATTTTTTGCTCCATTCATCACAAACACAAAGCAAAGCAAAAAAATATATATATGTGTATATGTGTTGCAGGCAAAACACTGTGAATTTCACAACAGCAACCAAGCAACTACTTTGCCATCTGAACATACGTCTCAGGAGACGAAATGGGAAAACATGGGGATGTCATTTTTTTAGTCTATGCATTCTAGGCCAGGTCTGTGTTTGTTTTATTTCTTTGGTCTGTGCATTAATGAAAATGATCCCGCGTGAAGGCTGGCTGAATGTTCAGCATACTGGAGCAAGCATAATAAAGCTGCTAATAGCCACACGTTTGAACTGGAAAAAAAAAAAAATTGGAGAAAATGAAATGAAATGTAAAGGCCTATATCTTGCAGCTTGTATATCTTACTCTTGCTTTAAAAATGTATAAAACAGCTGGAAATGTTTTAAATACAAAGTCTTTGAATTAAATGTGGATTTTAAATATGTAATCCCTTGACAAACGACCAAATTATGGTGAAATATTGCTCCCTGCATTCATCGATCATTACCTATCACTTACAAATCTGCCTAGAGATGTGGACACTCTCTGCATTTGCTTCTGTACATGGAGAGATGTTTGTAAATATCCAGGCCGTATACACACACACATTTCAATCTCTCTCTGAAGATATATTGCCCCTTTAATTGTGACCTGGTATTTGGAACTCTCCTTTTATTTGCTTTCTTTTTCTTTAATGTGACGTCTCTGTGCTGATACTTACTGGTTCTTGTTTTGCGATCTGTTTCGAGGTCCATTGCTTTACTAAGACCCACTGCATCTTGGCTGATTTCAAAGTGACACCAGAATATCAGTGTTTAAAAAAAAAGTTTTGTTTGTAAATCACGTGACCAGCTTCTCTCAACCTGACATGGAAAGTCTCTTGTACTACAGTGTACTTAATAAAAATGATGTCTTACAATAAATAACATCCTCGAAAGAGACACCAAAAGTGACATGATGACTACTTTAAAAATGTATAGAACTTTCACAAGGCCTGGTGTGCTCATTTTTCTGTCTGTCTGTCTGTATTTTAGATATGGCCACTGAAGATGCCTGCAGTGTTCGTTAGTTGAAGGCAATGAGAGTAAGTGGCCTTTGGTACCAGTTCCCTGGCTGAGCCCTCCATAACCTGACACTTTGAACTTATCTCTTAGAGAACTGCAACATCACTGTCCAATAGAACTTTCTGCAATGATATAAATATTCTATCTGCACTGTCCAATGTGGCTAGTTGGCACTTGACATGTGGTCAGTGTGACTGAAGAACTGAATTTTAAATCTGATTTCATTTCAAGTAGTTTACATTTAAATAGCCACATGTGGCTCAAGATTTCCATGTTAGACAGCACCGACTTAGAAGATAGAATCATCCTGATTTCTAACAGATCACACCTAAGAAACCCACCAAGGGAAATGTCGTGTATCGTGGCCTCTTAGGGTTGGGGCAATTTTGAGGATCATAATGACCCAAGCGCAGAAGTAGCCAAGTTGAAAATGCCACATTCTCTTGGTCTCTCTGTTAACCAGTGTTTCCTAAATCAGAGAGGCGAGGGACGACAAAATGAGAGTGGCTTAGCATGGGCTCCAAGGCTGTCTCTTCCTCGCCGCTGGAGCACTCCGCCCACATTTCTACGTCTCAGTATCTCCCAGTCTTGTTTCTCAGTGTCGACCTCCTCCCTGCAGCCTCGTCTGAGAGCCAGGAGACATCTGGACAGCATTCCTGGTGGGGGCTGCAGGAACATAAAAGTTGGCAGTAGGCTGTCCCCAAATCAAACTCCTCAGGAACTTCGCCTCATGAAAAGCCCTCTTACTGCGCAGATGTATTTTCCTTGAGTTAAAAAAATCCGACCAAGCTAAACTCAGCAGAGACTCAGGGAACTCAAAACTGCGTGAAAGGGGAAGAGAACTTGTCCAGAAATCCAAATAGCACCACGTGTCCCTGTGGGATCAAAGAGTATCTCCCACTCAAACAAAATGTGGATTAAAGGACGAGAGTTAAACCCCCGATGTCTTGGCCAGCCGTAACCCAGTTTGGACTGTTAAAGATCCAAACTTTTACCAGATTACATTCTTATATTCCTATTATTGGTACGATGACAACAGTATCAATTTAAATCCCAAACAGAAAGTTTCCCCGAGCCTCGCCTGCCTCTCTGGAGCTCCCGTCTAGTTTTCTCCCTCAGATACACTCCTTTAGTTCACCCTTACGGATGTCTAATTTCTTGATGGCAACAACACTTCTGAAGTATTGTGACCATTAACCTCATCAAAACAGGCATCCCTACCTTTAGAATAAATTGGCTAATAAAACAAATGCTTGCTGTATGCGGGGTGTTATGCATGTGTGTTAATTTCCCGCTTTCCTGTGATTGCTGTAACGAATTACCATAAACTGGCTGGCTTAACAACAGGAATTGATTCCCTCACGGTTCTGGGGGCCAGAGGTCTGACACTGAGGTGTCGGCAGGGCCGCGCTCCCCCTGCAGATTCTAAGGGAGAATCTGTTCCTTCCCTGGGTCAGCCTCCAGCGGCTCCCGACGTTCCTTGGCCTGTGGCCGCATCCCGCCAGTCTCTGCCTCCACGGTCACCTTGCCTCCTCCCCTTCGTGTGTCCTCTCCTCTGTGCGTGTGTCTTACAAGGACGCATGCGATTGCATTTAAGGCCCAATTTGAATAGTCCAGGACAAGCTCCTCCTCTCAAGGTCCTTACTCATCTTTTGCCTTAGAAGCTCACATTCTCAGGTTCCAGGAATCACTACGTGGGCATATCTTTTTGAAGACCGCCATTAAACCCACTACAGTATGTTAACTCACCCAATTCTTACATCAACCCTGGGAGGCAGGTACTATCATTGTCCTCAGTTTACAGACGAGAAACTGAGGCACTGAGAGTTAAGGAACTTGCCAAAAGTTAGGTCAAAAGAAGTTGACCAGTAAATATAGCCCTTACTGTTCGCAGGGGAGATAGTCATTTAATCCTCAAAGCAAGGGGCAACCTCACGGACTTCCACAGGTATCATCCACAGATGATAGGCAGAGATGCGGGCACACGGCCGGCATCGGGGAGCCCTGCTGGTGGGGTTTGGTATGGCCATGTGACTTGGTGTTTAGGCTGTGGGCTCCAGGCCCCTTGGAGACTGTAAAAAGCAATCCAACACCCCAGCCCTGTAGGAATGAGGTTATCAGTGGGAGCTAATGCCAAGACTCAAGCTTCGTGGAGACTAGAGACTTTCTAGAAAGTTAAGCCTGGGGTGTAAGAACTTTGGTCGTTAGGGACAAGGCAAGAATTTGGCCACTAAACCAAAGCCCAAAGGCAAGTCAGAGCACCAGCAAGGTCTTTGGGTGCTTTCCTAGAGCCCAGTGCTCCTAATCGTCCCATCACTCCGCAGTGTTGGGGAGGGTGAGCCTGCGGGTAGAGGCAGATGCCTGGCAGGGGCTTCTGAGGCTTGGGGTGATGTTAGAATACCTCTCTTGCAAGAAGACCTCTGCAAATTTGGCCATTTCTCTATGGCAAAGTTCTTTGGTAGGTTCCCATGGTTAGAGCTGTATGAGAGCTAAACACCGCATCACCCCTGCCATCTACAGGTGGTGTTTTACTGTGAATGCAAAGGTTAGACCAAATTCATCCAAACAAGCACTGATTTATTATCAAGACTACAAGCCTTTTGTCTAAGCCAGGAAACTTCCCCTCCCTGTCCTTACACAGAAGTCATACTCAAAGGCAGATGCCATAATGTACTAATGCCAGGACCAGCCTGGCCTCTGTTCAGATCAGGTGACAGGCAGGGACAACAGAACACCCAGGGAGCTCTGGCCACTGAAAGCTCCATTCCTGGCATGAGAGAGCTGGGCTTGCCAGATTCTCCTGCCTCCTTCACGCAGGAATGACGGCGCTTGTACAACATCTAATAAACCCTCAATCTTCAGAATCAGTCATTTCACATACACATAAAAATCTCTCATGTCCCTTATGCTAATTAACAACCCCTCTGGTTCTGGTAACAATATTCTAAATACCAATTAACTAGTAAAGTCATTTCTGACATAGGCACTACACATGTCATCTATGGGACATCTGTACGTCATTAGATATGTCATAATATCTAATCACTTCTAGATTTAACTCGACACAAACATCACATTGTCTATGCTGATTTTAAAGTCATTGCCACACAGACAATATAATAATTCCCTATAGACACTACAGCCTTTTCTCCTGTAGTAGGTATGGATTTATAGGTACCAGCCCAAGTGTGGGAAATGCCACTCTCTTCATTTCCTTTAAATCAGGTTATGTTTGATTCACATCCACATCCTGTGTGGGCAAAAATCAATCTCAGCGATTCCTGGGTGTGCCTCCCTTGTCTAGGGTAACCCATGGATCCCAAGGCTCACTGATACTCAGGAAACGTGAGAAGGGTTTCTATTTACTGACCAACACAATCCACTGCTTCTAGAGCCAGAGCGGAGAGCCCTGAGTCTAGGACAGATGCCCTCAGACACTCCACGCCATCCCCCAACATCTACCACCTCTCTGATGCTCAATCCACTAGGTATTGTAACCATCTTTTCTCAAGACGGGTCACAAAGCCTTACCTCTAAGACCTTAATTTGGCTTTTAATTTTATTTGGCTCCTGGAGCTTTTCTTTCTCTTTTTTCCATTTTGTTATGTTTTATCGAGCATATGCATGTGTTCAGCACAAGATGGGGGTCTCTGTGCACCTGTCCAGTCTTCCATCTTCCCTGGAAATCTCAAAGCTTTCTTCCTTAATTTGAGATGAAGGTTCTTTTCCCATGGTCTTATTCTTCTGTCGAGATGAATATTAGAACAGTTCTTCTCAGCTTTTATCGTGGCTCAGACTCCCTTGGAGACCTTTGAAAAATGTAGAAGCCAAAGCCCCACCCTGAAAGAATTGGTTTCTGTTGGTCCAAGGTGGGGTAAGATATAGGCATTATTGTTTAATTTTTGCAAATTCTCTAGGTGTTCCTAATGTGCAGCTAGGGTAGGGAAATATTGTTGAAGAGGATGATAAGGCTCAGCTCCAGAATGTCAACCATCCAAAGAAACACCTGGTGCTAGACCTAAGACTTGACTCAGCAGAGAATGGGCAGACAGAGAAAGGCCTAGAACGTTAGTTCATGAATGCTAGGAGAAGCACTAGATAGGTTTGAAAAGCAAATCGTCAGTATCCAAGGAGTTGAGTAGTGAACTGTGTATTTTCTCAGACAATAAGTTTCCTGCAAAGCTCCACAGAAACCATTTATGGCCCAGAGCTTAAGGCAATGAATCCATGAGTCCTGATCAACTAAAAGGCTGGGACTCCAGCTCCCCATCAAGCCAGAAGAACAGCTGGTGGGTCTCCAACCACGGATTCTGATGAGGATCATCCTGCTGATAGCTCGCTATAACAAGCACAGCAGCCACAAGACCTGGACCCAGCCCATGACCATGAAAACCGAGCTGCCAGGACATGCTGGAGCTGACGTTCTGTCATATCTCTATTAAATGCTTGCCCTGGATCACTGCAGGAGAGGGGCCAGTACTTCCTTAATCACTCGACTTAAAAGTCCCACGGCCTCAAGGAGTGTAAACTCAGTCCTACCAGATTGTTGTGTGCAATCTCAGAGAGTAATAGGCAGCTGAACTGGGAACACACATACCAGCTGATTCTGTCCCCATGAGTCTTCCCCTAAATCACGATACTCCAGCAGGTCTGCTGCATGGACTATCCAGCCATTTGCCCTTGTTTGAATGACAATATTGTAATTTTTATTTATTCATTTTTTGTTGGCCATTTCCTACAACTAGAACGTAAAGTTTATAAAGCCAGAGATTTTAGTGTCTTTGCTTCACTGTCTAGGATGACTCTCGACACATCAGTGATATTCAATCATTTTTGAATGACTGAATAGACGAACGAATAGATGGATGGATGTTAAG